TACACATTTATTACCCACGAGGGATGCATACTGAAAGGAAGTAAAAAGTATATATTTTTTCCACTATTTATGTTTTTTTAATATAATTTTCTACTAACAAAGATTGCGCTGAAACTATCTTGCGTTTTATTCATTTAATACTTAGCTTCATGTAATCTAACTCTTGTTGTCGCGTCTGTTATTGAATCTCTATATACAGAAAATATCTTAATGGTAAGAACAGTATGCTTAATAGCCATAGGATCCACAGCGGAAAAACTAGACGTGATTGGGGAACACTATTATTATTTTCGAGTTGAGCGTTGTCAATTCCCACAATAACCGCTGAAAAAATTTAAAAATCAAAAATGTTTTTAAAAACGCAAGTCAGTGTTATTAACTAGCTCTAATCTCAGTTTGACACGCCTGTCAGTAAAATATTATATTTTGAAATGAAAATTATACATAGGAAATTTTACAAAGTGGATAAAACAGTGAACAATATTTATATTATAACATCTTGTACAAGAACACTTGATTGCTTAAATTTCAAACCTGACCTAACTGCCAAATTTTATAATTTTTAATCTCGTATTGTATTAAGATGTCTTAAAATACACATTTCGTAAATAACTAATTCTCTGCTCAAAAGATTAAAAACTTCTTTTAATTAAATTTGCATTTCTTATTCTTTTTTATTAAAACGAAGATTCTATTCTTTTGTATGAAGTGACTTTTTGAGAAGTACTTTGTCAGAATATATTTTCAACCCACATTCATGTATATAGAAAAATAACTTAACATAATTGAAAAAGTTGATCCATTTAATTAAAAAGAAATAGAATTATCAAATAAATTCTAAAAAAATACAAAGAAAGTGAACATTTGCAGACTTAAAAATCGATTACTTATATTTTCTGAGCTGTATCAATAATACCTACAGATAAGATAGAGAGATTGCTATATTATTATTGGGAAGCAATCATAGGCCATCCCGGCATTTGCCTTAAGCGATTAATGGAAACCCAGACAATACCTTGTCCAGAAATGAGAACGCCAGGGGGAACTTATTCATCATCAGAGAGTCATCCTGAATATTTTTTTATTATTTCAATCTTCTGAGCATTGTTTCTTACTTGTGTATACAATCTTCTTCTGTATTGTTCTGAGTATGTGCATCAAACTCATCCCAAATAAGCAGAGTTCAGAATAGATGACTATGTTACATTGTTCCCGTTTAAATAAAATGTACATTTCTGCAAATTATCTCAAGACAATAATTTAATATTGCAAACTATCAAAATATACTTAGTATATCAAAATCATAAAAAAATAAACTGTGTTATTCTGTGATTTAATTTAACACTACTTATACTTATTTCAGTGAGTAATTTCTTTCTGAACGACAAACTCATAATATTTTACAAAAATACTATTTATAAGGTGTATTCAGGGCTAAATTGGATATTGTGCTGCGTGAGAAAATGCTGAAAAACACTCTTTCTCAATTTTGACATGGCATTCTCTTTTCCTAGGAAGTTAATTAAGACAAGAGAATGCTTAAATATTTTTTTATGTTGCAAAGGTACCATTCATATCTTTTATACTCTCTTTAAATAAATATAATACATATTATTGGAAAAAATTATATTATAATAAAATGGTATTGGTGATTTTACAGTAAGATCATTGAACACAATTGAATTTAATAAATCTTGTATTTCGCTCTTTTTAGTGAAGTAAATAGACGCTGAAATACTGAATTGTCTGGTTGCCTCTCTTTTAATACGTTGTTTTTAAAAATAATCAAATCAAGTCCATAAATTAATGTTTTTCATATTCCTAAGAGAACCATTGTTGCAAAATGGCACTCACCAGCACAGAATAAGCAGATACATTGTGCATTACATGAACAGCTACATTATCCATTACATAAACAGCTACATTGCCCATTAAATGAATAGATGTTTCCGACAATTGAGGTACAAATATTTCATCCGCTTCTGACACACCTGTTTTGTCATAGTTCCATCAAACTCGTCTAATTATTTTGATATCACATCACACACAGTTTTTAATTATTTTTAACATAAATAATTAAGTAAATAAGACTTTAAGGGAAATAATAATTCTGCTCCTCCATGAAACCAAATGTATGTAATTCGTGCATACTTTTGCTTAAGCATCACTTTCTACTCTTTGCGTTGGGTCGAGCCGAGCGCAAGACTTTTTATAGTTAGGTACCTGGTAAGATGAATGTATTTCTTCAATGGAACGAAGTTTGTCTGAAGAAGTGTTCTGTCTTGAAGAGAAGTCTGATCCCCAAGAATGGCCCTGAAGGCAATAATGGCTGTCAGTGGGCCTCTTTTATACAATGTTCATTTACCAGACCGGTGCGGCATCGCGCCTTCGTCGATGATTGATTGATTGAGTGATTGATTAACTAGAGATTCCGGGCGTGTCCACAGCCAAAGACATTACTCCCGTAAGTGTAGTGCATGTTTTTTTCTCTGGCGGGGGTGGTGGTGGTGGTGATATAACCCCGCTGGTTGGCGAGATACGGTGCCGACCTACCATCTACTACCGGGGTTTCCTCTCAAGCAAATATCTCCCACCAGCGGGGCAACGCCCATAGCCTCTAAGCTCCCGACTGGTCTCACGGCATATGGGGGGGGTGAAGGGCACGTGAGTGTACGTTTGTGTAAGTAAGGGGAAGGATAGGTCAAGGAAGAGGAAGGAAAGATCGCGCGCGTTCCTTGGAGGGCACTGCTCCGGCATTCGCCTGGTGTTGATCGGAGAAACCACGAAAAACTACCGTTCAGAGCAGTCGACTGCTAGGATTATTTGAGAGATATCGACTGAATTCGACCTAGCTGACAAGCTAGTGTCGAAAATCCTGCCACGGTCGGGGCTCGAACATAGGAACTCCAGGTCGGAGACACTGCATCAGATGATACCCTGACTGCCTTTCTACAAGTGGAATTGACTATCATTGGATTTTCTGTTTGATGTGTCCGAACCCGAAATCATAGTTCCGGGCTTGGACAATGAATTTTCAACCAATAGCAGTTCTGATGTTGAATGTGAAGGTTCTACAAATATGCATTGTTGGTTTGGTGTAAATGAAACACGGTGCTTTGGTAATTGCATTAAATCAAATTGATGTTTGTTACGCTTCTAACACAAAATGAGTGACGCTGTTCCCGGTAAATCGGGTTTAAAACTTTTGCCGGAAAATCCTTTAGAAGTGATGAGATAAAATTGGTTTTGCATGATTTGGAATTCTCGCGGCTGAAAATCAGACAATAGCTATGCGGCAGATGGAAGAACTAGTCGCCAAATTAACAGGTATCAATTTCATTGCATGGGCAAATCGTAAGTGTAATCTCTCTGATATTTAGGAAAATTATGTGCATGTTTCACTCCTATTATGATCGTTAACAGTACTAAGAAAAGTTATTTACATCGTTATATTACGATCGTAACAGTTCAAACAAGTACTCGTAAAATAACACTCTATATTAAGACAGTTTTATGTAAAAAACACATGCGAAAAATCCATTATAACTGTTTTGTAAGGACACTTAAGAATTAGTGACGTAGATTCATTATCATAGGCGTTAGTGTTATTTATAGTAGGAAGTACTTACAGTTTGGAAAAGTTCAGGCCACACTACCTCGTAGGCTTTTGCTTACGACGGCGGGTACTTTCATGTTGTCCATTTTTGTGTGATACCCGAGTACATATTAAAAAGGAATTTTAGAAACAGTGAAGTTGTCTGGTCAGTCCTCAGAAACAGAAAGATACATGCAAAGTAGCGATAGAATAACATTAAAAAGTTCTTATTTCATTACTGTAGTAGGTTTTCAATGAAAGTAGGTCAATGTAATGAGAAACTATCGTCAATTCAATGAATCATGCCCTAAGCATTGACCTTGAGCAGTGTAGTGTTTCACGCCTTAAAACCTCCAAAACCATTTTTTCTATAATTCTTCCAGAATATTCTACAAAGAACCGTCTAAAAATATACCCAGATTCATTTTGCATAGATCAATTGAATGTGATCACCTCCGTAGCTTACCTTAAAACTCCCTCAAAATCAGCTTTAGTTCCTTAACCCCCCCTCCAACGTTTTTCGATAATTCTTTACAAAAATTAGATTTAATTACGACAATATGATGAAGTAAGTCGTAACAAATTGGGTAAGTGCTGGAAAGAGTATAGTAATTCAGTGTTTTCGTAGGTACATTAAAACCGTAAATAGACGATTTTGCCTAGAATTCTCCCGGAATAAGTTCTAAGTAAGAAGTGTGGCAGCAAATGTGACTTTCAAGAGAAAATGACACTTCTAGATTCAGAAAATCATCCGAAACGCGTTTAAGATTTTTTTAAACAGAGAATTTTTTTAGAATTTTTTGCATGGATTCGCAAAAAAAAAAAATTATTAGTAACCCATCATGAGAAAGAAGCGTGTCGAATGATACTTACTTTGTCTCGATCGCTGGTCTGTAATTGGTCTAACCGTGAGAGACGGACGGACGGACAGACAGACAGACGGACGGACGAAGGTTACTCGATTACAGTATAAGGATGAATATTTTATTTCTTCTAAAAGACGCAACTCTACGGAGAATGCAGAATTAACCTCAAACACATTTAACAAGAGAATGAGAGAAGATCTGAGGGATGTCTCCATGGCTACCGCCGTCGTCACCGCAGGAGGAACCTTTTTCGAACGAAATTAACTCCGCTGTCACGGCCTCGCAGTCTCACACCACGCGGTACTCTGTCTGCACCAGACGGCGGCAGGAAGCAGTTGACGAAGTTGAGTGGCAAGGAGACACTCCCGGCCTTCCAATGAAGAACACGAGAAAGAATGTACTTTCAGATGTTTTCGGACACTGAAGAAAATAAGATATAATTCGCGTGCATGTGTTGTCGAATTTTAGTTGTCAAAAACTTTAGACAAGTAGTGGGTGAGATGTACGACTCTCGACTTTTATTTCGTAGGGCTCCAGGCATGTCAATCTGCCCTCTCACGAGTTTCTTGCCCGCGTGGGAAGCATGGTGCGACCTCGGGCAACTTGCTCTGCCTTCGGTCTGTTAATTTTACTTCATTTTCCATCTCTGCTCGTACGAAATAGCGACATGGGGATTACAATTCGAGTCACTTAACACTATCGCTGAACATTAACTTTAACCAGATGGCGTGATTTTTATTTTATACGTTAACTCGCACGGGTGTTAAAAAAGTTCTGTTCAAACTCTAGTTCATTCCAACTGTCATTAGATCCAATGCGCATTATATTTTCTACATTAATGTACAGTTTTATTTGATATTTTTTATAGGTATGATAGCAATTTTTCCTGATATGTGTGCTTCACTTTCTGAACATATTCATTATATTTCGATTTTTCTATAGTGGCCGATGGCATTAGGGCATTAGGGTATAAAATGAAAATTTTTAACAAGCACATTACTGAAGCCACGGGTCCGTTGAGAAGGGCATTGGCGAATTAATTAAAAACATTCATTTTATAAGGCAGGAGGTATAACAATGACCTAATGTCATCAGCCACTATAGAAAACTGGAAGTACATGCGTTGATTAACTCTTTTTTTTTCATTCGTATAATTTGGTTTAGAACAACCTGCTGAGAGCGCGAAGCCATCATATTCCGCGCCCGGCATTCCCCTTGTTCCCTGACCCCGCCCTCGCGCGGCGCAAGAACCCTGGCTGCGGCGGCGGCGGCGGCGCCAGGCCGCCCGTGATGCACCTGAGCGTCGCCGCCGCCGCCGCCCTCGCCGCGGGCGGAACGCTCGCTCCGGGGTTGGCCCAGCGGTGGCGACGGGGGTGGCGGAGGGGGCGCGACGGCGCGGCAGCGGTGGCGGCGGCGGTGGCGGCGCCGCGAGAAGCCGGACAGTTCGTCCGCGGCTCTCGCAGCGCGCGCGTGCTGCTCCGCTCCGCTCTGCTTCGCTTCGCGCAGCCGCCGCTGCCACCGCCGCCGCCGCCGCCGCCTCCATCGCACCGTTCACCCCGTGCGCCTAGCACAGCCCGGTGAGTATCCTCTTGAGCCGCCGCGTGCTGTGTATCCCCGGCGCGGCCGCTGGCCGGTCGATATGCGAGTATCGATTGCAAAGCTCAGTAACAATGCGTGAAACGTCGCCCGCCGGAGGCTGCGTGCGCCCCTCCCCCCCGGTCGCGCGCTCCGCTTAATAGCGTGTTATCAAGCAGCGCGTCGGAACAACGTAACAAGTTTCACGGCGGCGTTCGCAAACTTCTCGCCACCGCCCTTGTTGACTTGAAGGCACGGCCGTCGCTATCGCCGTTTGATTTGTACGCGCGCTTTGCCCGCACGGCGCTTCGCTTGAGAAGCCGTGACACGTCTGGATGGCGGGCGGGGTTTTCTGGTAGCTTCGTGACACGCGTGCGGCGCGCCCGCGCGTGCGTTGGCCGTGGCCCGAGGGAAAAGGGCGCGCCGTTTGGCGGGCCGCTGCATTCGCGAGAAGGGGTGGCGCCGCCGCGGCTGGGCGCTGGCGGAGCGGAGCGGCACCGGGGCACCTGTGGCGCGCCCCCTCCAAGGCCAGGGCGGCGCACGTGGGGCGGTCACCCGCGGCGGCTTGGACCACACAACTCAGGGCCGTTGTTATGTTACGCTGCCGTTCGAAGCGTGTTGTGTACAGGCAATAGACATCCGGACGCATTACTCTCACATTTACCACTTTGGTTTGGTAAAGGGAACAGTGAAGCAATAGCATTGTCATGTATTACGTTTAGGAAATGTAAATTTTATGTTTTTGATCACGATTTTTTGTGGTGTTCATTTTCTCCTCAGGAGGTCAATTTATTGTTGTTTATTTACAATTAAATATTTTAGATTATTTTAATAATAATAATAATAATAATAATATAATATAATTGTTGATTGATTGTTTTATAATTTTCGCACACAGATATCTCAAACCATATATCATACAGATACTACAAAATTAAAATATCACGAATAAAAGTTGTATGGCATTGTTTATTTTGGGTGTGCTGTCAACGATAGGATCTTAATTTACAATAAGTATTTCAGTCAAATGTAGCAGTTGAGATTGGTCAGTATTTTCCAAGAATAGTAATAATTATTGTCTAGGACATAATTAGAGATTGTTTTAAAACGGTGAACTTTCTTTTGGAGAAGTGCAAAATCTTAAGCGCATTGTAAAATAATCCTATCAGCCATAGAGTGGAAATCCGTGATCGGAAATTTATTTCTTCGCCGACATTTGAAACTGATGTGAGAACGCTCCCTCAAGGACACTCCCTGATCGCTGGAAGCGTCGAAAGTACAAGTCGCTCGCCGTCGGGCGCCCATCGGGTCCCCGGCGGCCCCCGGGAACACCGCAGACCCCATCCATCACCCACACGCCCGCGCGACTCCTGCGGGAATTGACGGCGCCGGGTCATTAACTGGAGGGCACCGATAGCGCTGGCGCGGCGCGGCGCCGCGCGCGCCGACACACTTATCGCCGTCATGATCGATTGCTCGCGAGACGCCAACCAGCTGTGACGAGGAGGACCGCCGGCCCGCCCCGCGAGCGGGATTGCAATCCCTTGTGCACCGCGAAGGCCGACGGAAATGAGCTCTCCTCCGCGCGAGCCGGGGCAGCGCGGCGCTCACTCATCCGACGCGATTGCAGGTGAAAGAGAAATCTTCACGAAAAGTGTTGCACGGGAATGCTCAGTTTATCAAAGAAAATTAATCCTCATTTTGTGGACGTTGATTATGTGATACAATCGCATGATTTTTAAGTATTTGTTTGCAGTTCATGGAATGAAGATACACACACAGTCATAATTTTGTGACAGTCGAATGTCGTAATAAAATAACGTACTGGGTCTGAGCAAAAACGTTATCTTTCAATGTGAAAATTGATTTCAGATAAGTGTCATCCTGAAAATATGCATTGAAAGTAAACAATTTTTGGAAAAGTAAATAAAAATTTGGTTGCTCATTTCTTCTTAAAAATGGGTTAAATTTGTAAATTATTTTTTGATAGAAACCACACATTTGTTTTTTGAATCCTCGCCTCGAAACAGAGAAACATTGCTACATACGCTTTCCTTGTCATTCCAAGCCAAGCCAAGAAGTCAGCCGTCAGAAAGTGGCTGATGCTGAAACGGGTTTTAATCGCCAATAGAGAAGCAGTTTTGTAATAGAATGCTCACTGGAAGAATAGTTTATAAATTTAATAAGATTTGGTGTATATGTTACTGTTCCAAATTAAATGTATTATTTTCTACAAACTCCCGGCCGCCATTTTGTGAAGTTATTTGAAACGCGTATGGACATGACCTGCCGAAACAAATTGTGTATTAAGTACATCATTGGTTTAAGATGGCGTAACAGTGAAATATATTATATCTCAACATTACTAATAAACAAACTATAATAGTAGATTAAGTAACTAGCTTGTAATGTTGGCGTTTTTTGTACGAATAAGTAAATATTACAGAACGAACGACGTTGGGAATGAGTTCAGCAAAAAAACTAACATTATAAACGAGTTGCAATTCTTTGTGTAACTATTATAATCATTTAAGAAAGCGAAGTTAATTAGGATGCTAATTAAAAATCTCGAATTCGTGTTATCCGTGCCATGTGAGCAGCGAATTTGTTTACAAATAGCTACAAAGTTACGTTTTATAAAAAATGATTGAATCATTTTGTAAATGCCATGGTAAATTTTGCAAGTAGCTGAAAAGCAGCAAATTTTTTATTTCTAATGAAGTATAGAAAAGTTAAAGAAAAAAATATCCAAAGTTAAAGAATTGAATAGATATAAACGAGACTGTTGTCCTGACGCATCTGTAAAAACAGGTTGGTTAATTAAATAACATGAACATGCTAGAATAGACATTTGTTATTATAAAATATGCATCTTTAAATACTAAATCCTCAAAATGTAATAAAATATTGTTCAGGACAGAAAATAATATAAAGTGTTTTTTTTTGGAATGGAATTTTTCTGGATTGACTTTCACAAATTTAAATACGCATATGCAGTATTAATATACACGTACTGAAAAATTCAATTAGGAGGTCTTCGCTTTCTAAAAGAAAGCAACATATACTGTCAGAAGAATACACACATTATTAAATTACTGTTTAAGCGTGTAAGATTTTTTAATAATATTGTGATCTTTGTTGCGAGCGTTGAAATATATTTACATAATACCAATACCTTTTTTATTCTCCAAAGCTACTACTTGGTGACGGTGGGCTGTGAATATTACGTCACCAATGACTATTTCGTGAGGAAATAACGATGTACTTTTTCTTGCAATAATATACAATTTTATATATTATTTTATTTATCGAAAAAGGTGGTTTATAATGCTGGTATAGAAATTTTTTTTTTTTTAATTTTAAATTTGTTCCTTTTTCTTCAGATATGAGTTGTGATGAGCGCTCCGCTCTACTGATCCTTGAAAACGAAAAACAGCTGTATTGTACTTCACAAAGGGAATTGAAAAAGTATTAACACACAACGAAAATGTTATAAATGGCTATCAAATACCAATGTTGTATGTTTTTACTACGAAACAAAATATCTCTGTGTCTAGTTAATGTGTTTCGAATATAATTGATTTTTGCTCGTGTGTGTGTTGCTGCCTGACATTATTTCATCCTTTTATCTGTCAGTTTAGGGGATTAAATTGCAAGGGAATGAAAACATCGATCGCGAGGAATTAATTCTGTTTTACCATTTTACAATTTTAATGTAGAGTTTTACCTGCTGTCCGTTCATCACCGTTTTGTAGTCTTTATTCTGTGACTATAATGAATGTTTGCAAGCCATTTTGTTGCTGCTGCCTGTTTACATTCAAAAGTCGAGAGCTTTCGGAGCCAAATTGACGAAAGATATATTCCGGTACCCATGACAAGTTGTGTAATTATATTTAATTAAATTCCCATTAATTGCATTTAAATGTGGCCCAGAACAATCAGAATTAGAAATACGTGACCATTGTACCTGAATTTAATTGTGTTTTTGTAATTGAAGGGGATTTGTTTGAGTATTTACACGAAAGACAATTAGTTGTAAACTCACTGGTGTGTCAAAATATGAAATTATTATATAAATATTTGTGAAATTACCTACATGAATTTGCCATGAATTGCTATTGTAAAAGCTCTTCGTGTATCGAAGTATCGTTTTTTACGCGAGCAGTTTCTATTATATGCACAAAGATTAACGAGACCCATGATGGACTAATTTGTGATATAACGATACTTCTACCTTTTCATGATAACAAGGCACGGAAAAATGTTAGTTGTTTATGTTTAAAATGAGTAGTTTGCAACATTCATAAAAGCTGGATGTGAAATCTTTACATTTTATGTTAAATTATTTGAATATTTAAGCAAATTGTCTTAGTATATGTTATTCTGCATATCGTTTTAATAAATGCGATAAGAAACACGAGTTATTGAATCAGTGATTGTAAAAGAAAAGTAAGTCCTTTTTTCCGAAAAGAGTTGAGGTGTACCTTTTCTTTATTATTCTTCAACCTTCAGATCAGTGTAAAAAAGAAATTTGTCCGATTTAAAGTATGTGCTCTATTGCCAACTAAAACTTCTAATGATTGGAAAAGAGAAAAAGGTCCAGGGGTAATTTCTCTTATATACTCGTAGAGGGCACTTAGAAATTTCTGGATTCATTGCGTGAACTGTGATAAATAATAAATTACTAGTGTGAGAGTAAGTAATACTGATCTTCACGCAGGAGAACTAGAATCAGCTAAGACACGCCTAAATGCTTTCATGGCATCTGTAATAGACACGGAGTATATCATAGACTTCAAAACATGGTCGACCAACTATTTTAAGAAGACTACCAAATCTCTTGCTCGACCTGACAGTCCGCATTGAGAGCCTGGGGTGACTCTGCTCAAGTATAAGCAGCTAGCATATGAAATAGAACATTTTGTTTGCTTTGTGAGCATACATTGATGGGCTGATACAGTGATCATTCATGTTGACAAAAGTGGAAAGCACTTCCAGATTTGCCTTTCAAGAAAGTTCAAGAAAGTCAGCTGTTTTTCCCATTAACAAGAAAATATCCGATATACAAAAATAGTAAAATATATTTCACATAAATATCTCTATTTCTACCTGACAGTTTTGACATAGCTGCAGACTGAAGTGGAAATTGATGAGTAGTTGCTCATATTATTAATTTAGTAAGAATATATTTCATGTACATATAGCACATTATGTTAATTATTTTATATTTAATATGTATTTTATAAAGGGCACGAGTCTCGGGTATAAAGAAGTTCTGAACATCACAGAAATGCAAATTTAATGTTACTGAGTTGTCCAAGCAACTAATAACTATTCTACAACTTCTATATTTGCCCCATATGCCAAACGAACATATTAATTTTTTGTTTTTTTTTCTCAAAACCATAGAACAAAGGCTTATGTCCCTTTCCAAATCACCAGTTCAATTGATATTACGTGCATATTGTTTGTTACCTTCTGTTAACGTTTTGTTGCCGTGTTTATTTAATTATTACCACGTATCCCTTCTGTAGAAATACAAAATCCTCTACCGAGCTTTTCGCCGCCAGTACATAAAAAGTTAATTTCCACACAAGGTTCTCTAGCTCTTTCAGTATTTCTCAGAAGGAAATATATTAGTATCTTGTCACTACAGATCTGAGAACTTAATACAGTTTTTCTCAGAAATACTTGCCAATATATCCGTCAAAGTCACACAGATTTCAAGATTGTATTCTTGATTTTTTCGGGACTGAGAGACGATTTCACTTACGCGTTTTAAAATAGACGAGTAAATGCGATTCTTCAAGTTACTCGTACATGTGTGAAATTGTGTTCATATTATATTTTGAAAGAATAGTACTCGTAAACATAAATTATTTAGTGTTTTTACGGGGGTTATGTGACTATTTGTTCTTTTTAACTGTTAAATCTCTAAGAGTAAACTGTGCTTTTAATCTTATGATAAGACGTAAATTAAATATAAAGTTTCATAGTTCTTTATTGAATATGGAATCTAACTCAACCCTCTGTTCTAGTGCTTTATTGAGGGAATGTGAGAGAAAATTAGAAACGGATTGCATGTACGTCGAATTGCAAGACAATGTGAAAATCTCTAGGAGTGTGGTTCATATCGAACTGGAATTATAAGTTTGTTTTAAGCTCAGAAACGCGCCTTATTTAGGAATTTTACGAGTTAAAATATTATTAAAATATTTATGTCCATTAAATATAAAAGTTGAAACTGCGCCCTTTTGATATATAATTCTCTTCTTATGTATAATTACAACATTGTTATTTAACCTAGATGCTGCGTGAACCCATGCATTGTCTGGACTAGAATAGTCTATGAACTAGTGTAGCCTGATCATAAAGGAGCGTGCACGCAAAATGCACGAAGGAGAATATGTTGCTCGCTTTTCACATTTAACGATTGAAATCATAGATATTCGTAATATTCACTAGTATGTACATTTGTATAAATCATCGAAAAATGGTTTTATCATTTAAATTTCGTGGAATTTTATTTGAATAAGTGACAATACGACATAAAAGTGTAGAAAGCTACTCTGATGGATGACTTTTTGTTCAAATGTGGAAGTGAATAGTAAAGAATTGGCTTCATGGACAATTTTATCGTGTGAAATGGAATGTGCCCAATTTGAATTGGTATGTTCAACCGTAAGATAATAAGACTTCTTTTCAGCAAGGACATTTCGATGCATTCTTTAGTACACACTTGTTTTTTTAAATCTTATTTAAAGTTGCTTTTCAACTACTAAGGTCACATTGCGACCACTATAAGTAACATTGGGGGTTAACTGTTACGGCATATTCACACACATAAACATCCATGCCCCGGGCAGTATTCGATGCCGCGATCTTTTAGGCACGAGGTAGTTACGGCTTTTCAGACTCCATTTAGTACACATTAACCGAACGAATTCGTCAAAACCGCATGTTCGTTTTCGATCGCTCAATGCGAATGCAGCTTAACCTTTCGAGTGGCGTAATGAATTTAAGAGATATGCTTCATTTATTGATTTATTGATTCAATTATTAGTGCTTTATGAAAAGTCATTGTAGTGTTTACCATTGGAGTGCCAACAGCGAAAGTCGATGCGTGGTTCATATACTTGTGAGCCTGAGAAATATTTTGCCCATATTGAAAGTGATTGAAAATTTCTGTGTATAATATATTTATTTACGTGTTTATATTTTCAGTACAGTAGGTGATGAATGATTATTATTTGTCTTATCTAACACAAAATGTGTTCAATCATACCAAAATATTTTGTGGCATTAAGGAGATAATAGAGAAGCAATACATTTTAGTAATGGAATGAGATTACAATTGCGAAGTGTGATATCGTAATTGCAGTTACTGTGACTGTGATAGCCAAGCAAAGATGTTGTAGAGACACGAACCGAAAAATTTATTTTCTTGATTATAACATGCCTTCATGGTAATAAATGTATTTAAAATAATTTTCAAAAACTTAAGGAAGGTAAAGGCATTTTATACTGTGTTTCTATTGACGTTTATTTTTATTGTTGGATCTTCTTTACAACTGAGTTGGTTAAAAACTAATGATAATTCATAATTTTAAATTTATAAATACAATATTAACTAAGGAGAAGTTGTTCAGAGAAACAACAAAGTACGAAACTTACTACTTTTTAGTACACTTAAACGATTTATAATAATAGTCCTGAAAATGAGAATCAGTAAAATATTGAACGTTTACTACATATTCAAAGAGTAGTCATATTATATTTGTCGCACCGTGAGAAAAACGTTGAAGGATTTATACGAAAAACACATCGTTGTGGACTTGGGAGAAAACTACGTTCTCATCTCTCATTGGACCCAGCACCAAGAAGGATCGGAGAAGATTTTGCAATAAATTAGCTGAGAAACGTAATAGTAGTAATATAATAGTAGTAATAATAATAGTAATTAATAATAATAGTAAATAATAATAATATAATAATATAATACATAATAATAGTAATAATAATAATAATAATAATAATAATAATATAATAATAGTAATCATCATCATGATATTCGTTTAAGATATTGTTTTTGGGTAAAGACCTCATTTGCAACTCTTAAATCCATATAACGTAAACAAATAAAGTGTCAGTGTATTTTTTTGAAAACTCAATAAATTGCACCTAAACTGCATCAATATTAAGATTTGTTGGGAAAGTGCAAATGCAATCCAGGACACGACCCGCTCAACGTTTTGTGACGTGGCACATTGATCGCTTCTAAGTCGAAAAATATGAGTCACATCACTTTAAAACTTACTTTTGAAGAATAACTTTCAAATTAGTTCCTCACTCCGAAATCCATGCAATAAAATACTATTGTAGGGACTTCTATTAAAAGTTTGGGTTTTATCTCTTTAGACACTTGCTGAATATGAAATGTTGAATTATATAGTTTATTTTTTATCAGTAGGTCTACAGAAAAAATAACTAACTGTATTAAGGTCTAACAGAAAAAAAAGTCTAATAAAATGTGGTCTACAGCTATATTAACTCTAATGATTAAGCGTCCACAGCTAAAATGTCTACCAACAAAAATGTTTACTAACTGCAAAGTCTATCAGCTGAATGTCAACTAGTAAAATTCTGACAGAACTCTCTAACGAGTATTCTGTTAAAATATTTTATCATTTTGGAGCAAGTTCAAATGATGGTATCGCATTATGAAGACTAGACAGCAAAATAAAATGCTCGCCTACTTGAAAAAATTAAGTTATCGCCTGAAATTGTAAGCAGGTGAAGTAAAGAATCTGATGAATAATTTTAATGAAACTCTGTCCTAGTCATGTACTGCATATATTTTATAAGATGTAGATCTGTAGACATTTAGGCAATAGACATTTCTGAATATAGATTTAATTGCATAGAGATTTTTTTCATGTAGACTATTGTGATGTGTAGACATGTATTATGTAGACACTTTAGAGTAGACCAAATGTCGTTAGTCCTAAAATATTATACATTATTTTCGTAGACCTTAATTTTGTAGACTTGCTGACCGGTAAACGCACGAACATAAGACAACATCTGAGTTTTAGAGGACAAAATCTGAAGAAAAAAAATCTTTTCTTTTAGACAAACACGGAAAAACTCTGTAAGCCATAGCGACATTTCAACTCTCATATATAGTACATGTGCTGTTGAGAAGTAGGGTGGTTTGCGTCGCTATAATCGCGCTTTTGACTTATTTGGATAGTGATAATTACATCTTTCGGCAGTGGCATGAATCAAACTTTCATAGTGACTGCTTAGCGGCAGTATTCCGTAAAGAACACAAACAGAATCGCCAAGCTGTCTTGCGTCCTGTAAAACTAAGGGTAAAACTAAGTGACATTTACCACTCCACTTTTGAGTCTCGTATAACGGCCGGCCGTGACCCAAAGAGCTTCGCGCCCGACGCGACGCAGGGCGAGCGAGGGCAGCGCGTCGGCCTTGGGCGGGCGGGCGAGCGAGCCTGGGCCGTGCCGGGCGCGGCGGCGGCCGGGAGTCGGGAGGCGAGGCGAGGCGAGGCCAGGCCCAGCAGCAACAGCCGCCGCCACCTGTTGCGCGCCCCGCCCGGGCCTGCCGCCGGGGCTGCGGTGGAGGCGGCTCGTCGCCCGGGCCCACCGCTGCCGCCGCCGCCGCCGCCGCCGCCATCGCTCGCCAGGCCGCTTTGTTCCACCTCCCAGCCCAAATCCGAAACTCCATGCTCGCCGTGATAGGTCATCGGATTTGTGTGTGTGTGTGTGTGTGTGTGTGTTTTTGAGAAACTAATTGTTTAAAAATTCCAGACATTTCCCAGAAATTACACAAAAACTATTCGTATTTTTAAAAAGTTGTACATCACGTTATTTAAAAATCTGCTTTTATGAACAGATTACATTAAAAAATCTTTCTCCAAAATTTTAGTTGTAGGGAGACTCCGAAATAAAATTCAACGTTTGCAATTTCTGAAAAATTAGAGAGATTAACGAAAACGCAACCTGTTCTATTTTTTCAGCTTTTTTCGCTCTATTCACTTTAGAAAATTTAGAAAAAAGATTTGGAGGTATTTTTGAGACAAAATTGAAAATGTTGTTAAGACTTGAGTAAAGTATCTCCAAAATCCAAGATATCAGTTTCAAAACCGAGAAGCTGCTACATCAGCTGGAACGCGGAATATCAATTTTGGTGAAAATCCTGCTTACAGTTTAGCCGCTAATGTTGTTCACAGACGGGCGTACGTTTTGTAGAAAACCAATTTTTCGGTATCATTGGCACATAAAACGTGGATTCTAATTACACTACGCGTTAGAGTAAGAAGTTTATTGTACATAGAAACAAGATTTATCTACATTTTTGTTATCAGGGCGCCACATTAAGAGTTTATACAGAGATTAAAGATATGTATAATAGAGATATAAATTAAAGATTAGATAAAATTAGAGATATTATAAACTCGTGTTCTAAAATGAAAGTAATGAAAGAATGCACGCAAGGGCGATAATCAAATTCCCCTGTCCCATCGTCAATAAAGGAAGGTCGGGGCAGTCAGAATCTATATTTTTAAATAAAACATGTTTATCAAAACTTTTACTGTGTATTTTAGTACGTGCTAGTTTCACAAGTTCCTTCCCCAGAGCGAAAAATTCCTAGCAATAACTAAATTAAACAAATTATCCCGTGCGTTATTGTTACAGGAATTCCCTTCGCGTCACGTGGGTTCTAGAGCGCGGTTTACTCGTATGCGCGGGAAATCGTTTTGTCTACTGCTTTCTTTGAACGTGCACTGCATTCACATTGCAGACGTTCTTCGGTGGAAATGTGGCGCAATATAATTGTGTACATCTCTGACAAAAACAGTACAGTAGTGCGAGTCGCTCGAGAAGCAGTGTTCAGGAGCATGTTTCGAGGAGTAAGGAGGGTTTCTGAGCGCATGCTCACACGCCTTATGAGGCCAAAAAATTGCTTCGAATTTCTCAGAAAATAAGTGAAATAAATGTTGCTACATTTTCATTCAGATGTCTTGGTATTCAGAAGGTAAGATGTATTGTTTCAGATTGATTACTCTCCCAGTTGAATCAATGAGATTGGTTAACAACACGCATTTTGTATATAGCAACAAGTTAACAAAAATGAAATTGCACGTTACTCAGTTGTTCATTAGATATAGTAAAATAATTTAAAATGCAACAGTCGCGTTATTGTGCTACATAATTTTCAAATATAAGCTGGAGGTGATCCTACAAAAGAGAGAAAAAATAATTGAAACATTTTATAAAAATGCCTTCTCTAAACTTTTCGAACACCAAATTAAACCTAAAGCCGACCCATGAAATGCTTTGAACAATTCAATAACTCACCAATGAGATTGAAGCAGTTTTATTAAGTATGTTTTGAGGCAACATTCATTTTTAATTTTTAAAGGAAGTGTATGGTGAACTGCCGTCTCGCTGTTTAGGCAACCTTGTGAAAGAAGGATTAGAATCTCCTTGCAGAAAAGCGATTGTGTTAATCTTATAATAGAAGTTCAAAACACGGAACGAATTTTGTGACAATGCATTGTTTTATAAAACATGGATAACTTTAATCAGTTTTCTCTCTCGAATCAAAGTCGTAATTACATTCATATTCTGTATTAATTTTTTTTTAAATGTGCTTACATATCACTTTATATCGAGCACGAACGTCTAGAAATCGGGGCCTGATGCATTAGACTTACCGGAGCCCTATTTTTCCAACTAAGTCCTTCCCTCTCCCAATGCATCAACAAAACACATCTCTCCATTCAACTGAAATCACTTTTAGCGATCAATTTGAATTAGAAGTAAATATATTTATCAGTCATTTTGAATGAAAAAATTGGGGTATCAGTAAACTTGTGGCCTGAACAAGTTGCCCCAGCTGTTCTGGGCTCTCCTGACATTGAGTTAAACGTCTGACTGAGTTACTTATAGTAGTTTTTGTACTTTGTACATGTTACCAAACGATTGCTCATGACTGCCAACCCTCTGGGCTCTTTAGACGACAGACGCATAACATTCCGTAAGGCGAAGAACCCCTGATGTACAGCGCGCGTGGCAAGAGGCAGCAGCCTTTGATGTAGAGCGCGTGACGTGACTCATGAATAAATGAAGGATCCTCGGAGGAGTAAACCAATAGGTGTTTGAACAGACGTACGCCGCTTTGCACGCTGTTTTGCCATTTCCTACAGTCTACTTGCGCATATCGTGTTACATCGCTTTGAAGAAAGAACGCTTTCGGGATTCAGAACGAAAACTCATCAAACGTTTTGCGAACTCGTGACTGTAGAGTAGGATTCTTAAAAATACACTCATGTATGTTTCAGAGTAATTATTTGTACGTTATTTTTACGAAAACATGTGCAGCTTAAATATTGTAAAAATTATAATATTTAATAATAAAAGAGCCCTAGTACTTTAATGTTTCTAAACACTGTGTATTTATTCAACTACAATAAAATACGAAATTAATATAAATAATATAATTAGTAAAGAAATATATTATAATGTTCTGTAGTAGGTTCTTTAGTTTGATGTTTAATCATCTGACCCAAATGCATTAGTGGAAAAGGATAACCTTTTGCTGTGTGAATATGTGATTAGTTCATTTTGTGTTGGATTATCGCGAACGTTAATTCAATATTATATCAAGGAGCAACTGTGCGTGCATTTGAAATGAATCAAACTGCTTAGACAACTTTTGCTTAGGCTTTACGCAAACAACCGATGATTGTCATGCACTGAGAAATGTAATATTATTATAAACGTTATATGTTAACTCCATTTTTGATGATAAAACAATTGATTCAAGTGATGAATCAACTATAATTCATTTTAAAAAATCAATTTGTAAGATTTATATAGACCCAAATCAGTCTATTTGCAAGGCAGTAACAAGGTAATTTTGTTTTGCTTTTGTCATAAATTGTCATTTGATTATGAGGAAATTATTAATTCAAAACAGTTCACTTCAAAATAAAATTAATTACGTTTAACAACCTGTAAGTGTGAGCACTTAGACTGAAAATGTGACTGTATTAAAATGAGTCAAAATACAAATGTAGTGTGAAAAAACAAATGTTACAGTTCAGAGTCACAACCTGTACTGAGAAACGATTCATAAAGGACTGTTCTATCGAATGTGGTTCAGAAATCTATCACGAACTTACATATTTTGTATGTGTGTTAGACAATATATTAGACCTGGTTTATTTCTCTCATTTGAATTACCGCACCTAAATATATTACTAAAATCATCTTGAATAAAACGTTTCAAGTTTTGTATTGGCTTTTATTTCTCGTATTTTTCTCTCATTTGTATTGTTTTTATATATTATTGTATTTTCTGATCTATCGACGAATAATTGCTTCATCCGATTGGGTCACCAACTGGATGCGAATGTTTTACTGTTTTACGTTGAGAATTGTATAATATCAGAACTGCGCGCATTTCGGATGTCGAATATCCGGTTTTTGTGGTAGGATTCATCATGTAGTTGCAAAATAAATATTTTTAATTTTTTGTGAGTGGATTACATGGATCATATTTTAAATCTAATTATTATTTTAGTGTACATTGTCAGACAAATTCAGTCCCCATTTTCGTTGCTGCGTAATCCAATGTAAGTGATTAAGAGAAATACGTCTGGTCATTTGATCCTCTCTCCTTAAAGCGGAAGTGATTGGGAACAAATTAAACAACTGATTGGTAAATTCGCGTATCAGCATGTTTTTGTGTGCCACAGTTATTTCCAATGAAACTACGTAACACGGTTCTCTAGCCGTGTCGACGAGGTGAGGGGTAATGAAAAAACTGAGAGGGGTGCTGTTGCAATTGTCAAGCCAATTTTATTCTTGCCTTCTATTTGTGAATACTGCATGCTTGTATATTCCGAATAATGTTACATTTACCATTTATCCTGTCGGGTTATCATTCATTCTCAGAATGGATATGGCAAGAAGTGACAATATCACGAGGACAAACGTTGTTGATCTAAAATATTAATCATCATCATAATGATTTGCTTGAAATACTTTTTGTCGTGTAAACATCTTGATATTATAAACTGTGAAGAACATCTTCGGGTTTTTCATAGTGAAGCCAGAAAATATGGAAGCTACTTGTAATGTTTACTTACTAATGGTTTTTTACTTGTGTGATGAGTATATCTGTTTCAAGAAATTAATTCAGCCTTATAAATAATCTTGCCATCATGCATAATATCTTCCGAAATTGGACCAAGGTGATTTCGAAATCTGGATTATTGAATTTTAAATTGAATTGAATTGGTGCCTTATTTTCCATGGCGAGACTCAGGCCATCAGGTTCGCCCTTCTGTCTGACAACGCAAATATCGGTACGCTCCTTTCACTCACTAGCGGAGACAGGCGGTATTTCTTAGGCGACGAAACATTTAGTTCAGAGGCTTCATTTACGTTTGAGGATCTTTTATATGCAGTAAGTTTACTATAATGGAACAAATTTAAAAGTTTGCTCTGACACTCGCGACAGCAACAACAAATTTGAAATTTTTTTTATTACATTCAAGCGTGAGTGAGAGAAAAATAATTTTCATGTCTAATTCTCAACAGTCGGGGATTGGCATCCGGTTTTTTGTATAAGAGAGCTTTTCGTACTCACAATCCTAACAAATAAATTTATTAGAGTTCACAAAATTCCGTATGAAACGTTTTAAGATAAAAAAAATAATTGCAAGTTATAGATCGTTAGAAATAATTAATTATTGTTGTTGTTGTTGAGGCTGCGAAATATTTCTTATATGATTGGGAGAGTATTTGCAGAAACTGCGACCAGAAGTTCTGTGCATCGCCTTTCTGTGTTTTCGTCAGACCAGAAGGTTCTGAAAAAACGACACATATTTGACAAGATTAATACATTGCCGTATGTATCATTAAGTACTGAAGAAATTGTCATGGTACACTTTGTCTAGACGATAATAACCTTCTCCTTACGTTATTCACGCTTTGTGCTTTCTGTTTTTTCTGCTTTTTGCCGCGTTTCGCAAAGCGCTGGTTCGCGGACACTATGTGATAATGCTAGTGGGCGCATTGAAAGTAATACGCGTATTGGGCGCATTGAAAGTTGGTGGTACGTTTACCACCAACTTTTAATGCGCCAATACTCGTATTACTTAGATTCTCTTCACGGCTTGTACGCTCGCGCCTCCAGATTCTCAAACAATGCGATCTTGTCGTGTCTTACGTGAAAAAAATTGGATTCCGGGAAATTTCTAAAATGTGCGAATTCTTCGTCGCCGGCAGGCCAGGAGGTGCTGTGATCTACCAGTCACTTTTGGCAGAAGTTGAAGGTTTATTTCAAAGAGTTTCATACAAAATTATTTTTTTGTTATGTGTGAGAGAATGTGTGAGAGAATGACCTTTTCTTTTTAATAACCTCAAAGAGCAGCTAAACTGAATGAGCTCCAATCGTGGTGCCAAATTTGAATTAATTTGGCCGCCTATAGACCAACATTAATAATAATAGTAATAATAATAATAATAATAATAATAATAATAATGATAATTAAAAAAATATTTCAGTTGACATGCCCAACGTGACGCGAAGAATAAATATATTATTTATATTGGAGCTATTACGAAACGTTTCAGTATATTTTCAGTATGTTTTCGTATTTCCTGATTTCACTTTAAAAGAGAAGAGATCAAGATCATCTTCACAATTTATAATAAAATTAAATTCGATCGAAATCACAATTTATCATATTTTGATTTATGGTTAAAACTTTAAAACGTGAACACGGCGTAATGTGGTCGCTCCCAGTTTTAACATCGCAGGCCGCCGACGGAGTGCGCTGCAGTTCGCGCAGGGCGGCGCATCGGTGATGGCCACAGCTCGCCCGCGGCGCAGGGGCGCGCGGGGGATGGGGCGTGGAAGCTGACCGGATAATCGGGACGGAAGGAAGCGGGTACGGGTGTGACGGTGGGGAAGCGGTGGCCGAGAGCGTGTCGGGCCGTGGGGCGCGCGCTGGCACGCCTATCCGCCACGGAGACATTATCGCTCGCAGCGCCGCCGCGAGGAAACTTTTCAGCTGGCAAATGCCGACGGGGCTTCCGCACGCACGCTCGCCACCGCTCGCTGCCGCTCCCTGCCTCCCGCGTCCCGCCCACCGCTCGTTCCCCAGCGGATCTCTCACCCGGTCTACGGGCCGCTCTTTACCCGGCTTGCCCCTGCCATTTCTCCATCTTTTTCACACTTCTTTCCCACTCTTTCTAGACT